CTTTAAATATGATTCCAAAACGGTTGGCATTAACTGCGGGGTTAAGCCACACATTTTGGAACCCATGTTTACATAAAATGTCCTGAACGTGAGTAGTCCCAGTCATGGTCTTCTTCTAACTGTAATGTCGTATGCTTTTTTAGCAAGCCTATCATTTGGTAAATTATTTAACCTTAACCAATATTTAATCAGCTGTGTTTGACTGTCAACGAACAAGGGAAATACTCCTAATTCACCCCTTACGGCGGCGTTTACAGATCCTTTCGGAACATGGAGGAGAATTTTGCAAAAATTTAAAAGTACATATTCTAAGTCAGGTATTTCATATGAGATTTTTGGTTGTTCTAATGTTATATTCTGGTTTCTTAATAAAGTGTCTGACTGGTATATCACGTTCAGTTTATCACTATATTTCTTAAATCTAACAAGAACAGGGCGAGTACAGGAGGACGAAGGGTCTGATATCTTTCCTATGCGACTGACTCGCAGTAAATCAATTTCCGACCCTAATATCGGGTTGAGAATTGTGGCTACGGATGTTCTGATCTTTTCATTGGGACATTCATTAATTCCTTTAAAAATTAGGTCTCTGCATTGCACATTTATTCCAGTAAGTTCACTGCAATACAGTAGGATAGGTTTAACCAAACTGTTGAATAGATCTATAGCTAGGGGGATGGATGGGTTGGAGTTTGATGACAAAAAAGATTTCAATCTAAAAGAGGCCCGTAGAGCCTTTAATCTTAACTGTTTAATAGCACGGCTAAATGATCCGGAAGGCGTGATGTCCACCCCTAGGTATGTGTAGAAGTTAGTTATCTCTAAAACTTGTCCTTGGCATTTGAAAGGTGAGTGTTTATTATCGTATGTCCGCCCATTTTTTGAGAATATCATTACTTTTGTTTTGTTCTTATTTATTTGTAATTTCCATAGGGAACAAAATTGATCTAGCGTCCTCAGACACTCGTTTAGGCCTGATTCTGATTTCGATACGAGTACGAGGTCGTCGGCCCAAAATATGCTGTTTATAGGAGTATCTTTTAATGTCAAGGCATCGCAGGATGTTGGATCTAATAAGGATGGAAAATCATTGATGAATAGGTTGAAGAGGAGAGGACTCAGGTTGCAGCCCTGTCGCACTCCGCAGAAAGATTTGAAGTAGGGTGACAGGCCATGTGGGGTTTTGACGCAATAATCTATGTTATGATACATTGATTTTATTAACCTAAAGAAGTTCCCCCCTATCCCTAAAGATAAAAGCTTATAAAGTAACCCGTTTCGCCAAACTGAATCAAAGGCTTTGCGAAAATCTACAAAGCAAGCATATAGTTTCCCCCCTGGTTTATAAATCTGTTGATCGATTAATGTTTTAAGGACGAAAACATTGTCACTGGTTCTAAAATCTTTCCTGAATCATATGACTTGATATGTTTTGAGACTTGATATGTTTTGGGAGTTCATACCTTCAAAGCTGACAACATTGATAACAACTATAAGCAGGGTCCCCTAGGATTTATAGGTAACTACATGTACATGATGTATGGTACAAATGTACTTCCAAGTCAGGGATATGATAAAAGATATCCTACTTTGTAGGAATTAGGATGGGGTAGGATTAAGGCTTGTTTTAAGTAATTCGAAGAAGGTTATGTTTTTGGTAGCACTTGGATGTATGTACATTGTATGTTAGAATGTGGTTTAACACAAAAAAAGTAAGTACAGGTCCAGTGTCAGCTTTGCAATGGCAGGTTTTGCAATAGCATCAAACTGTGAGCCAGCATACACTGTTTCAGAGAATAATGGTGACTTGTATTGTATAGTTGAACTGGGATTGAATTGTTATTGTCTTGACCTTTGACTTTAAGGTTATGACATAACCCTGAATGCACTTTGACCAGCACGTCGGCAGAACGTACTGCACCGCCGCGAAACCCGTAATGTATTGTACATAGCACTTCGATAGAACGTCTCATATAAGGTCGTACTAGCGCATATACATGTAAGGTTAACATCTCGTCTGTAGTTTCCAAATGTTATGTAGGAAAAGATATCCTTTGCAACAGGCAAAATTCTGATGCAACGTTGACCAAAAATCCACCGAAAATTGTGAAAATACAGGGTTCTGCGCAGGCACAGTACGTTCTGCCGACATGCTACTTTGACCTTATCCGACAAGACAGGGATCCCTGGAGTATGTCTTCTCTAAGACTGGAGTTCTAGAGCCTTGACTTGTTCGTATACAGGGTTCAAAATACCCACTCTTGCCATGCAAATTATGGTTTCTGTGAATTAACAACAAGACAACAAGTTGCAAGTTGAGGCTTCTATAAGTATAATAAACTGTGTCCTGTCTCGGCCAGTATGTGTGTGATACCTCTACAGGTGCCGTGGTCTGGCTTACAGTTTGCCTTCTAAAATAAACAGTCAGTGTTGACGGCAACCTGAAATATTGATTGGTTTACGGTGCACGTGGGCAACCTAGGTGAAAAAGTATTTGGAACCCTGTTACATTAAAGTATGTCTATGTGTTCAAACTTCTGCTATCTTTTCTTGCCTTCTGTGTCTGTATGATATCATCATCACTGACCACCACTGGACATTACCCAGATGAAGAAGAATACTGTCTGGCCAATATAGAGGAACTGCCCACACCTAAAAAGGATTTAAGGGACTGTCCATTACAGAAGGAGGGGGTGGTGTGTCGCCATCGTGCCCTATCATCTCCATACCCAGGTCCTATATATACAATGTTCAGTCTGATATGATTAATTGCATTTCTACATTGTACTAATTTGTAGTCTTCCAAATAACATATATTTTTTTCCAGCTTAAGCCAAGATGCCTTGTATAATTTTTTGCAGACATACATTTTGTACATACGTAATATATCTTAATCTTAATATGTTGTGTACCCAATATTTTGTTTGCACTCCCAAAGTTTTTAGGCTGGGTGCACTGGTGTACCATTCTCCTAATGAAGCCCTGCTTACCACACTACATGTACCATCGCAATAATCAAGTTTTTATAGAATCAAACAATCAGCTTTGTTAGGAGGTACAACTAGAATAGACGAGGCATTGAAGAGTACTCACATGAATTGCCTGGCACATTTGACCAATTGCTGACGTCATGACATAGCCTTGAAGTCTCGAGAAGTCTCATGGAAATAAGGTCACGTGTCTGTAACTCTCGCAGATTCTCTGATGTACTTAGTATCAATATATATTTGCACATCCAATGTGCTGATTTTTTTTACTGATTGTTACCATACATGTATGAAATACTCCTCACCTCACCAGTCCCATAGCTGTCATGATTTCTTCAGTGGACATGTGCAGATAGTTATAATTTATATTTTTTTGGTGCAGATAGTTTATACCTGACTCAGTACAGGTATGAAAAATTGTGTATTGTGATAAGCTTGTCAAATGGCTGATGATACTGTTTTTACTCACTAGTTTTCCTCTTTCACAGCAAGGAACAGAAGAGACTATGACATCCATGACATACACAATGATTGTACATATATTATGATTGTAGTATTTTTATTCTCATTTTGCTGAACACCGCTGGAAAACAATCATAGTTTAAGTCAGATCAAGGGTGTAGAAATTGTAAAAACATTGTCTAGTGTGCCAAATGCTTTTGATTGTACCAGTACAGTGACCCATCTGCTGGTGTGCAGATAGTGAGATAACCTGTTTTATATCATACCCGGGCCGCGATAACGTTCGATAACGGGTTCCGGACAAACTTAAGGTACATTACATGTATCAGTGTTCTAGCTATCCTAAATTTTTTTTCCGTCATCACAATTTTGTTTGACAGAACATCATGTTGAGTGCTGGAGGTACAACTATCATAACATGGCGTGGGGCATGCTCCAGTAGGAAAAGTTTTAAATCTTGGCCCTCTGAATCGCTCTTTCCTGCATTTTGATGATAGGTAAACTTGGCTGGTGGACTAAGCTAAGTTTAATAACATCCTTTCCATATCTTTACATGCAGATTTTTGTCCGTCAAGTAAAAATGACGGATTGGGCAAAATGTTTGTCCATCATAAGCAGCAAAATTCTGTCAAATGATGGAAAGACAGACGCTGGCTAGAACACGGGTACTGATATGTTTGAAAATGTCTAAAACTTGGAGCTAAATTTTATCTGTCCTTAGGCCACACCAATTTAATTTTTTGTTGAACAGATTTTTCTAGAAAAATAATGAAGAGGGCGGGTGAAAAGAAAAATAAAAACAGGCCTAGGCATCCTATTATGGCTCAAAATTGTACGATTGAGCCATGAAGTCAACACACCAGGCTGGTTCAAAATTTAAACAATGAATTTTGAACTTTTATGATACTACTGCATTGAAAGATGGAATGTAACAACTAGGTAGTACTGTTTTCAACTGTTCAGGGCAAAATATGAGCATTTTGCAGTTGATTCTGAATTTTGTTTTTGTAAATCAGAAAAAATCAAGTGGGCGAATCTGTTAACCAAGAAATTAAATTGTTGCGGCCGTGCAAAATAATTCCTGCCACTACAAATACTGTCCTGACTGATGTGTGAAGTCTGACCTATTTCTTCTGTGTTCCTCCCAGACGATGATGAGGACGGACAGTCGCACACCTCTCCCGACAAAAACGAGATCCAGAACACGCTGCGTATCCTGTCTGCCAAGCTGGAGGACCTCAACACCTGCAACGACTTGATAGGTAGGAAACCATTACAGTTACAGTTACAGGCATTCAGTGCAACTCCATAGTATTAAGAAAGATACTATTGTTAATAAGTAAAGTGCATAGAATTTGTCAAATGCGGGGGGGGGGATGCATTCGTCGCCAGGTGTACTAGTTTAAAGCTGTGAAGAGGTACCCAGTTGGGGTATATACAAAAAAATCAATGCAACACTTGAGGCTGTTGCATTATTTCAAAATTTTCTCGGATTGCTACTGCTTTTGCATGATGCAGGTTGTTTGTAAGATCTTCTAAATCCACAAAATCAGGGGGGCAACTTAAAATTCTGATGCACTACCTAGTTTTGAGACAAGGTAGCACACTGCAGGCTGTGCTACCTGGCTCAAAAAAATATTTTGAACACTGCAAAGCGACAGTTTTCAGGAACATCACATTTTTGCCTCACAGATATCAGTATGCTATGGGATAGGGTTGATTCAACTTAACTATGTAAAAAAGAATAAACAGAAAATTGACTTTGCCACCCTGAAATTGCATTGGATGCCTTTCAAGAAATTTTGAAGTATCTTTGGAGGAACAACCTTATTATATTAAGACTTAGCTATTTAAATTTTTGAATTTATGACAACTTGTATTTTGTCAACACTGATGAGACCATGCTGACTTGATTGTCCTCTGGACACCCACTGCAGATGCAACATGTAATTTCTGTACGTTTGTTTTCTCTGCAGCGAAACACGGCGCAGCATTGCAGCGGTCGCTGAGCGAGCTGGAGATGCTGGATAAAGAAAACAGCACGGACGTCCAGAGTAAAGTTAAAGCAGTCAACGAGAGAGCAACCCTCTTCAGGATAACCTCCAATGCTATGATCAATGTGAGTCCATGTCTGTATCTGTATAGCCAGTATAACCGCCTTTCGGCGTAACACACCAGCTTCGCAGGCACGCGGCACAGCGGCAGCTGGCTATATTACACCGATCGACTTGTTACTCCTAACCCTTGAACTTCTAGCTCTAGACATTGTTTAAAGCTATCTATTGACAGTGCCCCTACTGTACTTGGTGACAGTGAGTTCCACTCTGCGATAGTTCTAGGAAAGAATG